AAGGGAAGATGCAGAATGGGTATGAAGCAAAGATCAGGTCATTTGTTGGGTTAAAGACAAGACTTCAGTGATTGGTTGAGTTTTAAAGAGGGTTTGTTGCAGGGCTATGTCTCAGTATTAAGAGGTTAGATTCTTGTGAATCTAAGAGTCTACAGTCGGTGTATCATCAGTGATCGCAGGTACAAGGTTATTTCAGAGCAGATGAAATGATGGTGCTGAGTCTGTAGCAGTTATTGATGCAGGTTTGTACTGGAACAGAACAAGATTGTCGGTTAAGTTGAAAGTTTAGTTAGACAGTTTGGTCTCAAGATTCAAGTCCAGGAAATAGCTGTCTTCAGAAGAATGTTTCATTAAGTTTGAAGTTAAAACTTATGAGACATATAGAGCTCCAAGGAATTTTAGCTCAAGGTGGAGCTTCATATCATAAGATTGAAAGCAAGAGCAACTTAGGACGAGTTTCTAAGGCTGGTTACATGTAAATCAAATGCATGCACCAAGAGATAAACTTCAGGTTTTGCAAGGGTATATTGCTGAGAGGTTAGTCGATTGGGGAAACTTTGTTCATGGAAAAGTTGTTGGCGTTCTTGGAGGGTTTTCTTGGAGACTGTTGGATGTAGCTACAGGAGGTTCTACAGTCAAAGTACACAAGGATAAAGTGTGTGAAGAAAACAGGGGTCCAAGAGAAAATGAAGATGTCTAAAGGTTCAAGCTAATCAGGTTGCAACCAGGGTAAGCGTTTTGAAGCTTTGTTTTATCGCTTGATGGTAGTGAAGACATCTAGAAATCAGTTGCAATTTTTGGAGCAAGTTCAGAGTTAAGAACTAAGTATTTGCAACTGAATTGAGATCCAAGATAGGATCAGAATGCAGAGGGTAAAAGCTGCATCGGAAAAGCAGAACAAGCAATGTTTTGGGTCACCTATTTGCATCTTAAGAAGGTCTGGTGGATGAATCTTCAAAGGGTTCACTTGCAGGAAGTTCAAGTTGAGTTGTTATTAGTTGGCACACTTAAAAGAAGCTCATGAGTATAAGGTGAAGATTCAGTCTGATCTTTGAGGGTTAAGATGTTAGTGCCAAAGGTAGGTGGAGTTTGCATACAGGTGAATGTGATGCAGGGTATATATGTATAGCGAGATAGTGACTTCAAGGGTTCTAGAGTGAAGTGCTAAGGGCTATACATTGGTGTCTCAGGCGTTTCCCATGGTTGTGGATGTGAGACATGTTTCAGAAGCTGAATTCAAGTCATTTGGTGGAGTCTTGTATATTGGTTGAAGTATTACAGGGCATTTCTTATGACTAAAGGAGGTATCGCAGGTTCTATATTTGGTGTGGAAGTAGCCGTACATGATCGTCTCAGGATTATCACAAGTTTATGTTGATATAAGACAAGTTTTAAGGTGCTGGTAGTGCTTAAAGTCTGCTGGCTGGTGCTCTGTTTAAACAGAACGGTTTTGACAATGATGATGTTTCAGTGCTGTTGGTTCATACAGGCTGACGTGAAGGCAATCTCAGATTATGCAGTATTTCTAAACAGGCTGTTGGGGTTGTTTCCAAGGAGATCCAAAGGGCTTCTTATTGGAGGATAAAATGCCTTTGTTCTTTGTATTTGATTCAAGAAGAATGTGTTTTGCAAACAGGTTTGTTTCAACACAGTGTTTGGACCAAGCTTGTGTCGAAAGTCTGTTCAACATTGAGGGTAGTTGGATGGCGTGTTCTGTTAGAGATAACGGCGGTACAAGAAGTGCTCAAGGCTAGTATGTTTCAAGCAGAGAGAAGAATCAGGGATTGTTTCAGGTTTGAAACATGTATGATTCAGAGTTTGCTGCACATAAATCTCAAGGAATTTTGATTCAAGACTTAAAGCACATGAGTAGAATCAAAAAAAAAAAAAAAGGGCCAGTGAGGGAATCAGGTTGCAGAGAAACAAAGGCAAACAAAGCTTTTTTTTTTTGGAGAATTTATAAAAACGGTGGAGCTTATGGAGAGTTCTGATGTGGTTAATTGGTTTAATGGAAATTTAAACTGGTTAATGTGTTTTGCTGAGCAGTTATTTCAGGCATTCAAGATTTGAAAGCCTCATGGATTGATCAGTGGAGAGTTGAGCTCAATACAAGTCGGTATTGAAGCTGGTTTTCACAACTCTGGTGATCTCAAGAAGCTTTGGTGGCTCAGGTTCAGCAGTGTGAACATTGAAAGCTGAAGGGCATGGAACATAAGTTAAATGCAGTATGGATTGAGCAAGTCTGAGTAATCATACTCAGGAACCGGGATTGGAATCCACAAAACTAGATGATCATGTCTATCTCAAGCTCTTCTATTTCGTGGTTGGTATTTGTTTGATCTCTCATTGCTAGGTGGAGATTTGTTGGAATTAGCTATGAAGATCAAGACAAAATACAAAAGAGAAAGACTTGGAGAAAAAGTTGTGAGCTCAATATACAAGAATCACGTGACTAAAGAATTGCAGGACCACAAGGAAGTAACCGTTGATGCAGGTCTGATAAAGCAAAAGGAAAAGTAGTCTTGTCTCCTATGAAACTACAAGATAAGGACGAGCATTAATTGCTACTAGCCAAGACAAGGGAATTTGGTGGAAGATGCAAAAAGAACATGAGGTCTATTCGTGTATATATATAGAGCCGGTCAAACAATTGAGAGAGATAGCACAACACAATGTAGAAAGATCGAGAGAGAGAGAACATCACTAAAAGTGTAAACTTGGTGAGTGTTCTTGAGATATAGAGTGAAAGAGTGAGAACCGAGAGAAACCTTTGTAAGAGGGCTTTTGGAGTTTGGGGATCTCTTTGTACACTCTATCATCTAGTGGATTCCGGGAAGAAATCCCGGCGAGATGTAGCGACCCGAGTTTATGGGCGTGAACTCGTTAAATGTTGTGTGTGCTCCCTTTTCTTTTCTGCTCTGTTCTTATATCTTCTTCGTTTTGTTTCTTGCTCTGTTTTACGTTGTGGCTGGTGTTTTCACGTCAAAGACAACTCAAAGCTAGAACCTTTGAGAGGCCAAATCCTAACAAGTACTAAACAAGTGCTCATGGAAACAGATTAATTCTTAACTTTTCCATCATCAAATACATTATGTATACTACACTCACGATTCTATGATGATCAAATTTTGCCAAAATTGAATTTCAAGCTCGTAGCTTTCTACCTAAAGAATTTAGTATCTTAAGCGATGCTAATTCCTTACCTTAGATAAAAATATCTAAAAACAAATCGTGATTATCTGATACTTGTATCTCCATAATATATCTCCAAGAACAACTTTCTACCATCAATTGATTAGTGCATAAACGAATAAGAGATACAGTCCCAATCTGATAAAACGTGCCAAATCTCTTACATTTTTTTGTCACATAACATTTACAGGTCTGAGTATCGGTATAATACAACTCTTGTGTTGGGTCACCGGATCACTGGTGGAACCGTGGGTCGGACCACGGGTCTTTTAACTTATTAAAAAATAATATATATATATATATATATAAATTAATGTTATAAACATATAATGATTGAATACAGTTTTTATTATTACATAGACGAGAGTACTATTTCTTTATTTTTTTATCAAATTTTTTATACATATAAGTTTTTTTTATAAATTGTTTTTTATTTAATTTTTAAAAATATGTAAAGTGCATGAAAAAAATAAATTTATATATGTAATAAATATTAATAAAATAGATCGATAAAAAAATGAAAAAAATAGCAAAATGACCAAGACAAAACAAACCTATTTCTTATTTTTTTAGCCGCTACCTATTCTTCTTTTCTCTTTTTATTTTCCTCTCGACTTTATCTTCTGTAACTTAATAATATCTATGTCGAACTAATCGGAGAAAATCAGAAAATATGAGATTCAATCTCTGGCGTTAAATTTTTGAATCAATTTTGTTAAACCTGGAAACCAGCCAGTTTTAGATTCGTCCGGATCACAGGATTTGAGCGAAGTTTTCTAGATTTTAACGAATTAATAACAGCTCGGATTTAATCTCAAATACGGACCGGAGATGTTACCGGGTCACGGTTAGACCAGTTGGACCGGCCAGGTCGGGTCGGGTTTAAAAACATTGGTTTTTTTTGTTTTAAACGTTTCTTATGGTTTGTTCTTAAATAGCTGCCTTAGTCGAAGTGTTTTAATTTATCGCTGGTTGAGTTTTATGCGTGGGGCTGAGTATCGGTATAATACAACTCTTACCACACTTCTCTCCACACCATACCGTTTTCAAGTTTGAAAAAGGCTATCAAACTACATATGATCCGAGGTCAAACACGAAGAAACGTTAAGTTCACAGTGGCCACTTAAGTAAATCATAAGTTGGCTGTAAAATTTGACGGACAATTTAAGATTTTGCAAGGAACCATAGACCATTTAGGTCTGCAACTATTGTTATAGGTACTGATCATTACGTGATAGTTAGAAGATTATAAGCTTGCCTCCATTAATCTGCAGAAATTGAGTGAATTGAAACCCAGACCTCCTGGTGTATTGGACTAAAGGGTTTCCACAATAGTTAGAAGATTAGTTGCTTATAATTGAAGTTCTAATAGCTTTAAACAAATCGTAGCTGAGTCGATGTGAAACTTCTATAACCATTTTAGCTTTGGATATGGTCTAACAATAAGATGAGATTTTTACCTCTGCTCTTACTAAAGTTTATTTTTGTTTTATGGAGAATAGGCAATTTCCTTAGAAAAATATGGTTAAGTTATTAGTTATAAATATGTAAGCTCGAAGAGAGGAATAAAAAAGTTTTTTTTGATCAAAATCACAACATATAAAATAAAATAAAAAAACAAAAACAAAAACCCTAGTTAACGGAGAGAGAGGTGATAAACCAAAGCGAGAAGTTTCGTGATTGTCTGAAACTCCAACACCTACTCTATAGACAGTTAGAAATTAAAGTCAGGCTTTGTGCTTTCCTCTATCTTTCTCATTGATTCTTGCTTCATTGTTTTGAGCCTTGACTCTATATATATATACTAGATGTCTTTCAAAGTTAGGGCAAAGAAGGAACATTCACCATCCATGATTACATCACTTCCATATGACATCATCATGAATATCATAGCATGTGTACCGAGATGCTATTATCCGACTATCTCCCTCGTTTCCAAGATTTTCCGATCACTTGTGGCATCGCCTGAGCTATACAAGAGACGATCCTTGTTAGGCTGCACCGAACACTGTCTCTATGGTGTCCTCTATAACTACGACACCAGTGATTACCGTTTGTATATTCTCCGTCGGAAAGTCAACAGCAATGATCATTATTTGGTCATGATCCCGTCACTTCGTTTTATGCCTTTCGCTGGACGCTATGTCCCAGTGGGTTCGAAGATATATGTGGTGGGTCACTCGAATGCTTTAAGCATCGATTGTAGATTTCACACATTGCAGCCCATCTCTCCCATTCCTAAGCCCATGTCTTATAAGGCCGCTGGCATAGTTGAGGGTAAGATTTACGTAATCGGAGAATGTAATGACGAGGTGAGTGGGAGCAGGTGGTGGAAGAGAGTCATGGTGTTTGATACAGAAACTGAAATGTGGGAGCCTAAGATGATAAAGCCAGGCATGGAGCTAGGTGACAGTTCGCTAATTGATGGTGTGGTGATGGAGGATAAGATTTGCATGAGAAATTATGAGAATAGCTTTGTTTATGGACCAGAAGAAGGAAAATGGGAAAAAGACGAGATGCTGAATGCTCAAAGATGGAAGGAGCTATGTGTTGTTGACGGCTTATTGTACTTTTACGATGTTTACAAGAAAAAGTTAAGAGCGTATGATCCAAAGCAGAGGTGTTGGAGAGTGGTGACAGGTTTGGAAGAATTGTTGCCTAAGATAACCGGTTCATGGAGGATGCGCACGGTTGGTTACGGTGTGAATTTGGCTCATTTCTTTCATAAATATAATGACGCCCGAACGAACACAACAGTGATTTGGTGTGTGGGGTAAGATGCAGTGGTGTAACGTTGTGATTGATGCTGAGAGTTTTCACATGGAAAATTGTTTAGCTGTTACGGTTTGATGCACACACTCTTTCATATAAGTTAGTTTTTCACCAAGTTCCTTAGATCTCATTTTGTGGTTAGAAGAATGTTAAGTTCGCAAATTTAAATCAGACTATAATTCGAGTGCTTTGTTAAGAAGAATCCATAATGTTTGGATAGTGCTCTGTGACAACTAAAAGTGTTAGGTAATGATCATTTGTTACCTTCAGCAATTTTATTATGAACTTGGAAACATCTACCATCCCATGAAAACATTGATATGTTAAACTAAAGAGAATCGGAAATTGCATGGAGCGGATAACTTGGGTGATTAGGAACATTGGCTCTCAAGGCGAACCTTCCATTATGGTTTTCACTAACCCAAATGTTGCCATAACATGCTTGAAATCTTTTGAAAAATAAAAAGGATTGAGGATCATAAAATACGAATTACACATAACAAATTACTCAGCTTTCAGCTAAAGAAAGACTCAAAATATAATTCTTCTGAATTCTTCACTTGGAAGGTTCAGTTGACTCAGTGGTTTTGTTGACCTCTATAGGGCACTGAGATACATATGGTTTCAGCTGTAAAAGAACAATGTTTCATTAGCAAAGCTAAATCACACAACGAGCTTAATGCCTCAAGTATGGATTCAATTTCAAGTTCCTAATCTCCCTAGTGATTCACGAACGTTTGGTTCTCATGTTTAATTAGGATACGACTTACATACTCTGCTATTTATGTAGAGAAATCATAGTAAAAGAACTGAGGAGTTTATGAAACATTCATTTCAGGTTCCTAACACAAAACTTACTACGAACAAGATCATCAGGATCACAAACCTAAGGAGTTTTAACCATTACGAGTTTTAAAATAATTTATCGAAGGGCTCACTAATGTTTGGTTAGATTAGGATGCAATCTACTTACTCAGGTGAAAAGACCAGAGAAAAGAAAACAGAAGAGTTGCATTACGATACAAATTCTATTAGCAAAGCTAAACACACACAACAAGCTTAATGCATTAAGGAAGCATTCAATTTCAGGTTCCATAATAACTTACAACGAACAAGACCATCTGGATCACAAACCTAAGACTTGTAACTAATGCTTGGTTCTCATGTTCAATTAGGATGCAAGGTTTTTTACTCGGGTAATTATATATAAGAATCAAAGAAAAAGCAACAAAAGAGTTTAGAGTAAATTGAAAACCTTAAAGCCAGTCAGATCAGGAACTACATAGTTCGGCAATTTATCTGGCTGTACAACATATCCTCCTGCAAAACCACACAAACTTAGAGAACTGTACAGGGAAAATCTGGAGAAAAAATAAATACAAATCCAGTTTATTATACATATATGATTCCATGATAATCAATTTGCTAATATCGACTTTAAGTTCTTAGCTACAATCTGTAAATTCCAGAAATTTTTATTTTAATAATAGTTCTCCTCAGTAATTATAACAAGTAACAACTCGGGATAATCCTCTACTATTTCTAAGAACAACTTTCAATTATCAATTACTAAACAAGTGCTCATGGAAACAGATTGTTTCTAACTTTACATCAACTACTTTATATACAATACATCTATGTACGATTCTATGATGATCACATTATGTCAAAATTGATTTTCTTTCTACCTAAAGAATCTAGAATTTTAAGCCTTGTAAAATTCCTGAACTTAGCTGAGAGTATCTACTACCAAAAACAACATTCAATAATAAATTACTAAAACAGGTGCTCATGAAAACAGATTGATTCTCAGCTTTATATCATCAAATACTTCGTATATCATAAATCCACGATTCTATGATGATCACATTTTGCCAAAATTGAATTTCAACCTCTCAGCTTTCTACCTAAAGAATCTAGTATCTTAAGCCATGTTAATTCTTGAACTTAGCTGATAATATCTATATTCAAACAAATCGAAATTCTCTGGTACTATTTCTATCAACAACTGCTTAAACAAGTGTTCATGTAAACAGATTGATCCCCAATTGTTCCAGATTCAGATCAAACTCCAAAACAGAGATGCAATTCAACAAAAGTATCCAAATTATCAATGAAATTGTGTGAAATGGAAAACATTGTGCGTTTTTTTAAGCATAAGCAAGAGTGAGTTTTTAATGATATCGAAACCTTTTCTGGTGTGGAAACCAGTAGGTTTACAGTTCTTCCCCTTGTAGAAATCTCTCGGAGCTCGTTTCGGAGAGAGAATATCAAGCGAAGAAGCTCTCTTTCGTCGGAAAGATCTTCCGATCCCCAATAACAACCCTAGCGTCATCCTCGATGTTGTATCAATCACTTCAATCTGGACTAAAACAAAAATGTAAATCGATGAATCAGGATCATACAAATCCAAAACTAGAATCCAGAAAGATCAACTCGGAATGTATCTAAGTCGAACAAATGATAGAGAAGGAGAGGAGGAGATACCGCCGGAGAAATTTGTAGAAGACGAAATGAGTGTGTGAAAGGGGGTTTAAGGGTTTTTTTTGTGTGAATGGAGAGGAATTGTGGAAAAAAGAAAAGGGCCCAACATAAACCAAACCGGATTGTTATCTGGGTTGTGGTTGAACCGGTTGAACCCGCCAATCCAATCTGGTTTTAGAAACAATGGTAATTGTAACACGCAAATAATTCGAATCTAAGTTTAGCCCCACCTCCTTGGTTACTTTCTCATGCTTAAAGATATTTTCCCGGAAAATGACAAACTAGAAAATCACCAGAAAAAAAAAATGAAAGCTATACACGGGACTCGCGCTTCCGTTCACGTGGCAGACACCGTAACGAACGATTCTCCTTAGTTTCTCCCAAAGTCCCATCAGCAAAAACCTTTTCCTCCTTTTACACTCTCAGTCACACGCACACAAACAAAAAAAGGAAGAAGAAGAAACATAGAATCTCACTTCAAAGCAGATCATTGAAGCAAAGAAGCGATGCTTCCTTCACCTTCTTCTCCTTCTTCATATGATTCTCTTTCTTCCAATTTTACTCCGGCGCTCTACTCCTCCGGTAATGCCTTCACTAGCTTCACTCCCATGGGGTTAGTCAATTTACCGCTTTTTCTCCCTTCGATTCGAAATTTCATTTGAAATTAGAGTTCTGATTTTTTACTCGTAGATTGAAATTGAGCAGGAAGGTGACCGGAGCTCCGATTTGTCGAGGTTTCTCTCGTAAGGCACGTTTCGTTTGTTCATAAATCGTCAAAAACAAAAAAACAAAAAATCCGATTTAAAATATCTTCCTTGTTTCATCGTAATGTAGATTAAGGATCGTTCAACACTTAAGGTCACTTGTCTTCGTGCACAAGAACGAGTTATAGAAGAAGAAGCATCTCCAATGACAGAAACTAGACAATCCTTCAAAGTCTCCTCTGGTGAGATATCTCATCTCGGTGTGTCCCAAATCGAAAAAGGAATCAATTTCGCTCTGTTTTCTCAGAACGCGACTTCTGTGAAACTCTGCCTATCACTTCCCTCGAGGTATTCATAAGTTTTTTTTAGCTCTTGCTTAAAGTGTATTGTTTTAGTTAGAGTCTGAAGCTTTGTTTATGTTCTTGCTTGGTTAATCTTTGATGATATTTGTTCTTTGGTGATGTGTTTTCTTAGTGATGTGAATGATGATGATGGTATGATCGAGTTGGTTTTGGATCCCAGCGTAAACAAGACTGGGGATACTTGGCACATTTGTGTTGAGGTAGTACAACGATGAACTTTTCTTACGCAATCTTTTTGTCTTCTCGGTATTCATGTCTGTTTTACATTATGATAGGATTTGCCGCTCGGAAATGTTCTTTATGGTTACCGTGTTGATGGTCCTGGAGAATGGAATCAAGGGCATAGATTTGATAGTAGCATTGTGCTTTTGGATCCCTATGCGAAGCTAGTGAAAGGCAGGAGCTTTTTTGGAGATAGTAGCCAAAAGTTTGCTCAATTCTATGGAACTTATGACTTTGAGAGCTCGCCGTTTAACTGGGGAGATGACTACGAGTTCCCTAACATACCTGAGGTATTTTTCACCTTCAGCTAGTTGTTGTGTGATTCTGTTGATAATGGAATTTGTGTTTCTGCATCATTTATGAAAAGTGCAGTGTATTTTTTTTCTTTCGTTTTGCAGAAGGATCTTGTTATTTACGAAATGAATGTTCGTGCTTTTACTGCTGATGAGTCCAGTGGGATGGATCCATCTATAAGGGGCAGTTACCTTGGTGTCATTGAAAAGGTAATTATATTCTACCACTAACATATGTGATGAAATGCTGAAATTAATGCACATTCATGCTTACATTTGATGAGCACAAGAGCTAATAGCAAGAAGATGCTAAATATGTCAAAGCTTATGATCACAGATTTTGAAGATACGTTTTATCTGCTTGTATGTTTGTATGCAATATCTCACTCATTTCTTCTCATTTTGAAGATCCCACACCTTCTAGATCTGGGTATAAATGCGGTGGAGTTATTGCCAGTCTTTGAGTTTGATGAACTGGAACTTCAGAGGCGTCCTAATCCTAGAGATCACATGGTAAGCACGAAATCAGCAATTTACGTGTGTGATACTTTTTGCAGCTATAGAATCTCACCCTTTTTCAATTTATATTTTTGTTGTTCATGAATGAGAATTCTGGTGCTTGCACAAGCTGAAAGAGTTTTTTGCTAGATTAACACATGGGGTTACTCGACAGTCAACTTTTTTGCTCCAATGAGCCGTTATGCTAGTGGTGAGGGAGACCCTATTAAAGCTTCTAAAGAGTTTAAAGAAATGGTCAAAGCATTACATTCTGCTGGTATAGAGGTATGCAATGTCCTTCTCTTGCCCCGTTTTCGGCTCTAGTATCTTTTTGGCCGATGAAGAAATGGTCAAAAGCATTACTTTCTTCAGAAGTAGTTTTACGATTTCTTCTGTGCAGGTCATTTTGGACGTAGTTTATAATCACACCAATGAAGCAGATGACAAATACCCTTATACCACTTCATTTCGTGGCATTGACAATAAGGCGAGTCATAAGAAGAGTGAACCTCATTTTGGTTTATTGTTTTTCTTATCTTTAAACTCTGAACAGTGTGAAATCTATATGCAGATTTATTACATGCTTGATCCAAACAACCAACTGCTTAACTTTTCCGGCTGTGGTAATTTATTTTGAAGTTTATTCCAAGAAAATTCCGTACTTTAATGAAAGTTCGGTTGTTAGCTGTAATTTTGATTTCTGTTTCCAGGGAATACTCTGAACTGTAACCATCCTGTTGTTATGGATCTAATACTCGATAGCTTAAGGCACTGGTATGGAAAAAATCTATCTTGAAGTTTTAATCTGCACATGACTGTGATTTGAAAGGAACGTTCATTGGTTTTCTACTCTTCACATATAATCGTCCCCGGTTCTGCTTTCCTCTCGTTACCAAACCGCAGGGTCACTGAATATCACGTGGATGGTTTCCGGTTCGATCTTGCGAGTGTGCTTTGCCGAGAAACAGATGGATCTCCACTTAGTGCTCCCCCACTCATAAGAGTAGGTTGATAATTGATTGTGAATCATCAGATAAATTAGTATCCGTGAAGCATATTCAATTTGGAATCTCTTATTGAATCAGGCAATCGCCAAAGATTCTGTTCTGTCAAGATGTAAGATAATTGCAGAGCCTTGGGATTGTGGAGGATTATATCTAGTTGGGAAGTTTCCAAATTGGGATAGGTAACAGTTTTGCTTCATAACGAGCTTAAGTTGATGCCCAGTAGTAATATACTTTAGTTCCTCAAATTTCTGTGATTATCAAGTTTCTCTAACCTGATACGACTACGGATGTTTCCATGTTAGGTGGGCTGAGTGGAACGGGATGTACCGGGATGATGTTAGAAGATTTATCAAGGTATACAACAATGGTGTCTTTTGAAAGAAGACTAATTGCAGAAACACTCTAATGTTCCACATGCTTATAGGGAGACAGTGGTATGAAAGGAAGCTTTGCTACTCGGGTTTCAGGATCTTCCGATCTTTACGAGGTAGGTTCTATTCAAGTTATTTAACTTTTGTATCTGTTCTAAATGATTTTCAGTGAACCGCTTAGATGCAGTATTCGCAGTGGAATCCAAATAGGTAACATGATAACGTCACATAAACTCTCTTCTCTTTATAGGTCAACCAGCGGAAGCCATATCACAGTATAAATTTCATAATTGCGCATGATGGATTCACATTGCGAGATCTTGTAACATACAACTTTAAGGTACTTTTGATTTCCATTGTATTGATGTTAAAGCCTAGATGAGTCTGTGCTTTACGTATCTGTTCTGTAATTTATAGCACAATGAGGCCAATGGAGAAGGAGGAAATGATGGATGTAATGACAATCATAGCTGGAACTGTGGTTTTGAAGGTAAATTTAAAACCTCACTTAACAACATTTTAGGCGTTTGATCGTTTCTCTGATAATTTTTTCAAGTTTTATATACATATACTCTGTTTCTTGACAGGGGAAACTGGTGATTCTCACATTAAGTCTTTACGTGCTCGGCAAATGAAGAATTTTCATTTAGCTTTGATGATATCTCAGGTAAAAGTATTGGCAGCATACAGTCGATTAATTATTGTTAAAATTCTTAGAATCTATGATCAATGATTCAGGGAACACCAATGATGCTAATGGGAGACGAATATGGACATACCCGGTATGGTAATAACAATAGCTACGGACATGATACGGCTCTTAACAATTTCCAGTGGAAAGAGGCAAGTCTTACATCATTCTCTGCTTAATACGAAGATTCTCCCTTGAACTGAATTCATTTTTCTTTTGAAAATCCAGCTCGACGCAAAGAAGCAGAGCCATTTCAGGTTTTTCTCGGAGGTTATCAAGTTCCGACATTCACACCATGTACTCAAGCACGAAAATTTCCTCAGCAAAGTAACCAAAACCTCCTCTTTGTTTTACACTTTTTTCGTGAATTCTGAGTGCTAAATTCTAATGAGCAATGTTTGTCTAAAAGGGCGAGATTACATGGCATGAAGATAACTGGGACAACCCTGAGAGCAAGTTCCTAGCCTTCACGTAAGACACTCCCAATGTTTCTTCCTTAGTGTGTGTAATACTGCTTAACTGGAATTGTCCAACTTCTTGCAGGCTCCATGACGGTGTAAGTGGCCGTGACATCTATCTTGCGTTTAACTCCCACGACTACTTTGTCAAGGCTCTGATTCCACTGCCACCGCATGGGAAACAATGGTTCCGTGTGGTCAGTCTTTCTTTATTTCTTTCTTTCGTCTTCTCTGGTTCTCTTAATTCAGTGACCGACTCAATTGTCTTGATTTAACAGGCTGACACAAACCTCGAGTCACCGGATGATTTCGTCAAAGAAGGTGTGGCCGGCGTGGCTGAGACATACAATGTAGCTCCATTCTCTTCGATCCTTCTCGAGTCCAAGTAAACAAAAAAAAAAGCACATCCTTGGTCTTCCTCTACACTCACACGAGCATGCAGCTTCAAAGCATTTAACACAATAACGTGTATGATATCGTATTAAACAAAATAAGGTGTATGTGAATTGTAATGAAATCATCCATTAGGGTCTCGTAAAAATTTGATTTAAAGACATTTCCAAAAAAAAAAAAAAAATTAGCCCCTTTTCAAGAGTGTCTCATCCAACCGGAACGGCTAAACATTTCACCATTGCAAAACTCCCTTCAATCACAGCATCATACCACAACACCGTACCCCAAATCTCTCCTCCTTGGCGTCTCTCCAAAGCAATCTCCGCACACCAAATCGATATTAAATCATCACGGACCTTATTATATATATACTTATGAAAGAACATAGCCAATTTCCCATCGTAACTAACCATGTTACACCACAATGTACTTGGTCTAGGCAACGATTTTTCCAAACCATTCACAACTCTCCAACACCTCTCCTTTGTATCATACGCTCTTAACATTTTCTCTGAAACATCGTAATAGCACAGTAAGTCGCCAACGGCACACGCATGGTTCCAATCTCTAGAATTCAGCATATCGTCCCTTTCCCATTCGCCAACGGCACACCAATGGTTCCAATCTCTAGAATTCAGCATATCGCCCCTTTCCCATTTAATTTCCTTTGGCCTATAAACAAAGCTGTTCTCAGAATCTCTCATGTAAATCTTATCCTCCATCACTACAGCATCAGAACATATTGTATATAGCTCCAAGTCTGGCATTATCATCGTTTGAGTTTTCAACACCATGACGACTCTGTTCCACTTCCACATATTCCTACTCACCAGCCGATTTCCAATTAAGTAAATATTCCCGTCGATGCCGGAGACCTTATCAGACATGGGCTTAGGAATCTGAGTGATGGGCTGCACCATGTGAGTTCTACAGTCGATGCTTAAAAAACTCGATGAGTCCACCACATATATCTTTGAACCCACTGTGAGATAGCTTGCACTGCAAGGCATAGAAGGAAACGATCGGATAATGACCAAGCGATTACTATTGTAGACTGTCCGGCGGAGAATATACGAACGGTATTCGTCGGTGTCGTAGTTATAGAGGACAGCATAGAGACAGTACTGTTCAGTGAAGCCTAACAAGGATCGCCTCTTGTATAGCCCAGAGGACGCAATGATTGATCGGAAACTCTTGGAAACGAGGCAGATTTTTGGAAAATTGCCTCTCGGTACACGTGCGATGATATCAACGATGATGTCATCTGGAAGTGACGTTATCCGAGACGGTGGAGACTCTGGTGATTGCTCCTTGTCTGTCGACGTAACTTTGGAAGACATCTATTTAGGTTCAAACCGAGGCTAAAGAGGAAAGCAAAAATCTCTCTATAGACTAGGGTTTTCAAATCTCTCCAGCTTTGGTTTGTGACCTAACTTTCTATCGACTAGGGTTTTCAAACTTAGCTAATCTCTCCAGTCTTAATTAGAAAAACGGAAATTTATTTATATTATATAATCTTATTATAGGAAAATTAGAAAAACGTTAATCCAACGGCTTAAATAAACTTGAGAATTCCTTCAACGTTAACGTACGAGATACAAACAACTACATGCAATGGCCACCAAACCAATATTTGTGTCAAGAGAGGTAATTTAACGAACACACGTTCGATTATAACATATAGATTGAACAAAACAAGTGACCGTTTGAAACTCATATCAGATCAATCGAAGATCCTTGACATAATCAGATTAACTTTTTCCACAATTGTAATTGAAACCAACAAAAATGTTTGAATCCTAATTCTATCAAACATAAGCATTGAGCACACTTGAACCAAACATTCAAAGAGCATATAAACCTGCAATTGCGACCTATTTTAATATCTAACAACAAAACCAAATTGATTGAGGAGAGAATGCGAGAAGGAAGTGTAGTGGTCACGAAGAATAGAATGAATAAACTGATCCAATCTCCTTTTTGTTTCTGCAGATCATCCAGTTCAAGAAGAGAATCTTCCAAAGTTCTCCACTCCTATTTCTTTTTTTTTTAATGAATGTAAATTTATTCACAAAAATAAAAACAGTTTTACAATAAATTATTAACAAGTGATCGGTACACGTGCCATGATATCCACGATGATGTCATCAGGAAGTGACGTAATCAGAGATGGTGATCGCTCCTTGTATGCTCTAACTTTGGAAGACATGTGACGTATAAACCTTCTCATCGTGCAGATGATATTATTTGATGAAAATAAAAAGCGTTTATCGTCTTATGCTACATTGTTTTAGATCTTAAATGATTTTCTTTGATTGATCTGGTGTTAATTGATTCAAAATTAATATCTGGTTTTTAGGAGATTATGGGTTTAGGAATCATGGGTAGTTTTCAATTTAGTAAATTGCTTTAATTTATGAAGTTTCTTATCGTGGGTTTATCGGGTATGTACTTGAACTATTGAGCAGGATCTGATTGGCAAATCTATTATATTAAAACAGAAACATATTTAGTACTTGCTTCCAAACACTCCTAATTTTTTTAAGTGTTTAAAAAATAATTTTAATAATTATTTATATTTAATTTCGAAAATTAGTTATTAATTTAAATATTTTTAGAGTTCCTTAAATATAGGTAATTTAGATTTGATTTGATTTGATTAAAAATAATAAATCAGATATTAATTTAGATTTTATTTAAAGATTCTAATTTAAATAATTTCTATACTATTAAACATTTTTATCAAAAATATGTAGAATTTTTGAAAACAAAATAATTCACATATGAAAAATAATGGTTATATTTGAAATATAAAATATTTATAATGATGTAAATGATATGATATTTATGTTGCTTATATAATATATTTACGATTATGATTTATTTACAAATTAATAATAAAATAATAAGTAAAATTCAAATGTATAATTTAAATATTAAAAATATATTTTTTAAAATTCAAAGAACTAAAATATATAAAAAAACCGGATTAAAAATATTTTGGTAACTAAAATCAGTAATTTTGAATTATACATGTAAATCGAAAATATATTTTTCATACAAAATAAAAACATAAAAAAAATTAAAAATTATTGCATACACTAAAATGTGGTTTGAAAAACCAGTTGTACACTCCCTTCGTTGATTAAATTTTAGAAAACTATAATGCTTAAATAATATTGTTAATACATCTCAAACTTTTAACAAATATTTATATTATACGGTAATATGAACGGAAAAGTTAGAATTATGTTTTTATAATAGTTCATTTTGAATTAATATTAGCGGAATGCTTAAAATTATATTTTTATAATCATAATTAATTTTAATACTATAAAAATATATCTAAACACAAAAATCAATATTTTCACTTATTAAAAAATATATTTATAAAAATAATTATATCTAAACTCAAAAACACAAATTATATTACAAAATTCGTTAAACAATAAAAAATATTCCCGTGCAGATGCACGGGGTTAGAATCTAGTTAGCTTTAAAGGCTATTAGGGTTTTAAAACAAATAAAATTTTTAAAGTTAGGTTTTAATCAATCAGACTTTAATGATTTTAAAGTTTTAAAAGTCATAACTTCCATCCTAAAAAATTTCACAGCCTTCTCTCTTCTTTTTTCTATGTAAGTCGACATTTTTTTTTAAAAGCTTCTGTGGATATGTTGTCTGGTCTTTAGCCACTGGGTCGTTAGTGGGCTTAGATAAACTAGTCCATAAAAATTCTTTAGCAGCTGATCATAGATAAAAGTTGGTGCAATGGTTGAGTGGGCTTTAGTAAAAAGGATGAGCCCAAGTCAACTAGTCCTGGAAGATATATAACAAGTCAACGTTATCTTCTTCGCTGGACTAACAGAATAGAGAGAGAAAGAGAACAGAGCAAGAAGAGAGAGAACTTCCTCGGTGGTGAAGCTTCAGGTCTTCTTTCTCAGGAATTGTCGGCGAATCCGTCGCTAGTGCTCAGGCTGTGATCCGCATAAGCTCAAGCTTGTGTGATCAACTTCTTCTTCTCTTTCGGTACTGATTGCTTTCGATCGGACTTGTAGTTGTGTCGATCATTGCTGTGATAGTGTACAAGTTAGGAAGATTACTTGTACGTCTCCGATCATAGTAAATGCATGGTGGTTTAGTTCCACTCCCAGATGTACCTTAGGGGAACTAGGTGAACAAAGCTCTGTGTCTTGATCGTTTTTCTTTTCCGCGAAGATAGAATCTGAAACACACAGAAGAAAACTCAGATTAGATCACGTATAGGAGTATTAAGAAGTAATCAGCTCACTAAGATTTCTTCACAAGTGGTATCAGAGCGCTAGGTTTTAAGCGCAGAAGAGATCACGGTCTAGTGATCATAGGCGTTGTGATCTTGGGATAAAGGGGATCTTGAGTTTTCTGCTATCATCTTGAATAGAATCATCGTGTTCATTGTGAAATCAAAATGGACACTGTTCAGAAATTTGAGATGGAGAAGTTTGACGGGAAAGGTGATTTCGGTTTATGGAAATTCAAGATGCTGATGCAACTGGAGTTACAAGGACTCGGGAAAGTTATACAAGTGATTACCGGTGAATCGTCAACAGATACTAAGGGAAAAGAAGTGGATACTGCGGATTCTAAAGCTGAAGTATCGATGACTGATGAACAAAAGAAATCTCGTGATATTAGAGCAAGGAATCTTATATGCTCAAGTCTCACGAATATAGTTCTTCGGAAGGTTATGAAGAACACTATTGCTGCAGGTGTTTGTAGGGCTCTGGAAGCTGATTATCAGACCAAGACTCTTCCAAACCGAATCTACCTCAAGCAAAGGTTTGCTAGTTTCAGAATGGGAAAAACTTAAAATATTTGAATAAATT